GACTCACTGTACCTGACCCATAATTTTCTCTTTCACTCTGTACCCCCATTTCTATGTTCTTAACACTTGTATGAATGCGAATAAAATACTGTGCCACTTTATGATATTTCAGTTTAAGTTGAGGGAAGCCCCTCAGACCTTGCAGAATGCAGACTTTGACGGTATAAGCTCCTGAGAGATTCTCTGGATGGAACAGGTGATTGACAATGGCCCAAGTATAATTTCTGTTGGCCAAGTTTTATTCAGTCCTTGATCTTTTTTCAGAGGAAAATAACATTTCCTTCACAGGATATCATTACTGTCTATGTCAGTCAGAATTTTGGGGTGCAAGGGACAGAAATCCATCTTAAACTAGCTTAGGCAAAATGAAGATTAATGTAAGGCTTACATGATTTCATGAAGAACAGGGATACATCTATGCCACAAGGATTCAAGTGCCACCAGAACATAATTTTCTGTTTCTCCCATTCTATATGATGACTTCGTTTTTTCAGACCAGCTTACATCATGTGATACTGTCAGTTCCCAGTTCCCCCAGATTGACTACTCTGAGACAGTCTGTGTTTCTGTAGCTGCTGTTGGTAAAAGTCTGGAAACCAGCTATGGCTAATCTTAGGTTATGTGTCCACTCTAAACCTGTTGCCAGGGAATGCGTAATTCCATTTTGGTCAGATGCTGTGGCTGAGCAGGTGAGATTTGTGAGAATATGTCAGCTTTCAGTCAAAATACATGCTTGGAATGGGGGAAAGAGCATTTCCTGCAACAAGATGAGTACAGAAGGAACAAACAGAAGGAAAAGAATGGGGGCCAGACAACAATAAATAGTCCTTACTTGTTAATGCTTATTAAATCTTGAAATTTTTCTGTTTGCCCATAGTAAGGACATAATAAATGTCCCTTAAATTTGAAACTGATGATTCTTTAGCAAAATTGATTTTGGTTTTTATTGTAGCCCAGTGTTAGCTGCAAGATCTTCACTTTACACCTTAGATCAAGTAAGATACCTTTGATATTAATGTTAAGCTCTTAATTGTTTTATTCCTCAATGGTTATAATTGTTTTTCCTTGCTGCTTACTAGTAAGGTGATGAATTTTGGGTGATAGAGGTTAAGTTAAAAGTCAATACCTAAGCAAAAGTGTAATATTGCTATATACTTCTTGTTTTTAATATTAAGCAAGCATTTTCTTAATGTAATAAGCAAGGGTATTTTGCTTACACTTGGTAGAGCCCACCTACAACTAACTGTGACCAAAAGGAAACTTTATCAGAAGGCATATGTATGTGTATCTGGGTCCAAGGAATGCCTAGGCCCAGGGATTCAGTATCACCAGCACCTTTCCATTACTCCTAATGCTGTTAATTTCTTCTGCAGGGTCTCTCCAGTTTTTTCTTTCCTTTTCTGCAACCACTAATTTAATTTAGCTTCTGATCATACTACACATGAATAATAGCAGGAGATTCCCACCTAGCTCAGTGGCACTGGCAAAGTAAATCTCTCCCTACCTCAGTTCATGTTGAACGATTTGTTTTGTATGTGATTTTTCCCAAGCCCTTCCTTAGTGTCACACGCTGTTCAAGAACTGCTCTCAGATTGAATGAAAACTAGAGTATAACAAATACCTTTAAAAGTAGGTTAAACTAGGAATAGTAGAGAAAAATACCAATGCTAGCTTTCAGTAATTCATAACAGGTGGTCTTCTCAAACTATATTTCTTTTTTAGTTACTATAGAAACTCTCTGCTCTAATCAGCGTAACTTGGTCGTTTTTGTTTCTGTGCTTGTGCAGTTTTCATTTCCTCTGACTTAAATGACTTCTCTCCATCTGGGCCAGTTTCTATTACTGTTTCTTCAAATTAAAGCAATTCTCCTTCAGATGCACTCTGATCAGCCACTTTTAACTCTCATCTGTTCTCTGGTTGATCAGTTTGAAGGTGTTCCTGAATTTTTCTTTGAGAAGTGAATCATACTTTTCTGTTTAAATTCAGAAATGTGTATCCAGGAGTGAAAAATCTTGATTAATCAAGGATGTCAGATAATACCATATTCTTATATCCAAACCTATTGCTGTTGATTTGATTCCAACTCATAGGAACCCTATAGGACAGGGTAGAACTGCCCCATAGCGTTCCCAGGCATTGGCTGGTGGATTCGAACTATTGACCTTTTGGTTAGCAGCCAAACACTTAGCTTAACCCCTGACTACATTCTTGGTAGTAATTAAAAATTGCTTTTTTCTTTCCATGCAGTTAGTATGTCACCTGTCCTTTTGACAGATAACTGAGCTAGGTGTTAGTGATAAGCTTCATTAATGATGATCACGATTTATTATTTCCCCCTGGAGAGGCTAATTGACAGGTATCTAATTCTTACACCTGTGAGATGAGTGCAGTGGTTCTCAGCATCACTGGAACTTTTTAAAAAGGCAGATTCTCGGCGTCACCTCAGGCCTTAGATCAGAAACTTTGGGGCAGGGCCAGCAATTGTTTTAATAAACCCTATAGGTGATTCTAATTCCCTTGAGTGAGGCAAAGAACCCAAGAGCATCTGTTTCCTTGATAATCTGCTTATTAGGTGGACCGAGTATGGTAGTCTACTTGATGTACAGCAGCTATTTAATTGCTGTATAGTTTCTCAGTGCATCCACTAACTTGATTGTAGAATGGTACAGATGGTTAAGCAGTGGACGACTAGCTGAAAAGTTGGCAGTTCAGATCTACCCAGAAGAACCTCGGAAGACAGGTCTGGCAATCTGCTTCTGAAAGATCATAACCTTGAAAACCGTATAGAGCAGTTATATCCTGCACACATGGGGTGGTCATGAGTCAGAATTGATTTTATGGCAGCTAACAAAAAGAGTCCTGGTGATGCAGTGGTTAAAGCACTTGGCTGCTAACCAAAAGGTCAGCAGTTTGCACCCACCAGCCGCTCCTTGGGAGAAATACGTGACAATTTGCTTCCATAAAGATTATAGCCTAGGAGACCGTATGTAGCAGTTCTACTCTGTCCTGTAGGTTCACTCTGAGTTGGAGTCAACTTGAAGGCAATGGGTTTGGTTTGATTTGGTTTGGTAATAACAAGAGTTTTATGGAAAATATATGAAGTGGGCTTAGGAGGTCTAGGTTTTACAGTAAAGTCTGTCAGTGCATGATACTTCTCTCCCCTTGGTTTCCTTATTTTGCAAATAAAGGCAGCAGGCACTACCATGTGGTACGTTTAAAGATCTGATGAGATTTTATAATGTTCTGACTGCTTTTGTTCATAGAATAGGAAAGTGGTATCAAAGCTCCTATCACAAGTACTTGGCATGTAGAAGATACTTTGTCAGCTATTTGTTAATCTTGTGTATAAAATTGGCCTTTTTTGTCTCTTTTTCTTATTCTACTTGATCTGAAGTTCTGTTTTAGTTCCTAAGGACTCTTCGTTCCCAAATACCCATCTCCTAAACCAAGTACACGGCCCAGATTCTTGACACCTCAAGCACTTACTTCTCTATTGCTCTTTGGGAACCACAAGATAAGAGATGTCCATTAAGTATGCCAGCTGGTCATTCAGCTAGAGTGGTAATAGCTTGCCTGTGAAATGTTAGGACTTTTCAGATTGCAGATTCTACAAGCCATTAGTTAGGGCTCTCAGAATTGATTTGTCTTTCAGAAATGGATTTGTAAACTATAGCCAAAATATCTATTTGCAGTGTTAAATAAAAATGTTAAACAACATTTTCTTCCTATGAGAAAGTCTCATTTTCTCCTATAAGAAAATCTGATTTCCAAATTATAATCATTAGATTGCTTCTTGCACACAGATTCTCGGTGAGGAGGTAATTGTCTGATCTAAGTGACCAGTGTCATCAAGTTACATCGTCCAACCTGATGTACCCATTTCCACTGTACCAATGTATTTATAAACTTCCATGAATAAGGGCACAGATATCTGGAGAAGTATAAAACATGCCTTGCTTTGTGATTACCTTTTTTCTAGATTCTAAAGTGACTTTCCTGTTTCTGTTAAGTTTTTCTTTTATATATATGTATATATAAAAAATGTATAATGTTCAGATGATTTGGATTCAGTTTTATTATTTATAATCAGAATTCGGTCATGTTTTCCTGAAATTTTACATCATTTGATTACTGATGAGAGTTAGCACCTTCTACAGAAAGATGATTTCATTCACTGCATATAGATATTTCTTCATATTATACTGATAGGGTATGATTTTTTTTTTGGTGGGGTGAGGGGTGCTGTTTCTGGCTAAGGCAGCGTGATGTACTGATAAGAGTTTGGCTTTTGGAGTTAGACTGTTCAAATCTGGCCCCACTACTTGCAACTTGTGTGATTTTTGGAGAAATTGCTTAATCTGTCAGCCTCAGTTTCCTCATCAATGAAATAATGTAACAGTTCTGTAAAGCAGGTAGTAGGGATTACATGAGGTGATTTTCTATGTAATTGGAAATAACCCTAGATAATATGTGGGTAATGTAATCCAGTATCATTCCTGTATATCATTGCTGTTTTTCTTTTAATGTGCTTGGGCTGAGCTATGAATTTCATCTTCCTTTCTGGATTTGTTAATTTAGCTTACAGTCTGTTGGTTTTCTAATTATTCTACCCCCTTCCCCAGTTAAGGTTGGTTTTCTTATTAAGTAGGGGCATCCATACATGGTGTTAACTAATAAAGTACATATACTGAGTCAACTGCGCAAAACAACAGTTTTAAACCAATGTACTTTTTATTATACTTAATTGTATTTTTGTTGGTGATTAGAATTGGTCAGCCTTTTATCGTAGAAATATTTTAAAATACTAAATATTTAAAAGACTGCTGTCTTTCCAGGTTTTAAAAATATTTTCAGTTTTTTTTATAATTTAAGAATTCTTGATACTAATTCTAAGAGTATTCTTGCGTATGGAATCAGTACTCTAGATTTGTGATTTACAAGCTAGGGATATGAAATAATCACTGATTCAGAAATTTGACTTTTTATTTTGGTTTATTTAGGAAGGCGACATGCCAATTCATGAACTTCTCAGCCTTTATGGTTATGATAGTACTGTTCGACTACCTGAAGAAGATGAGGAGGAGGAGGAAGAGGAGGAAGAAGTCGAAGATGATGAAGATGCTGATAATGATGACAATAGTGGCTGTAGTGGGGAAAATAAAGTAAGGCTGTAGACTTTTTTCGTGTTGAAGTTATAATTATTCATACATTCATTTACAGTATTTTGATTAACTGTCTTTACTCTTTCTGATTTTAGAAGTAATACATTTAAGTGTTAAAATTAAGATATTATACAAACATGTACTATAAAAATTGTAAGTGCATTGTAATCCTGCTCCTGAGCGGTAACAGTTTGGCCTCTGATGTAGATTTCTTTTCAATGCCTGTTCAACAAATAAGTTACACTAATTTTAAAAATATGCTATAGTTTTTAAGTAGTAAAGGCTAATTGGCAGTTCTGTATTCATTTTTCTTTATTTTGAAATAATTTTAGATTTATAGAAGAGTTACAGAGAAAGTACAGAGAGTTCCTGTATACTTTTCACCCAACTTCTTTTAATGTTAACATTTTATATGATCATGGTACCTTTATCAAAACTAAGAAATCAATACTGTACAATACTACTGACTAAACTATTGATTATTTGGATGTCACTGGTTTTTTCATAAGTAATGTCATTTTACGTATTGCAAGATCTAATCCAGAATACCATGATGCATTTAATGCATTCATTTTAGTCTTCTATTTGTATTTGGAACAAAATTTGAACACTATAACCTTTCATCTGCACCAGTTTTCTTTATTATATCTTAAAGAAATTTAATTCCTTATTCCACAGGAAGAGAATATAAAGGATTCATCAGGTCAGGAGGATGAAACTCAGTCTTCCAATGATGATCCCTCACAAGCTGTTGCTTCTCAAGATGCCCAGGAAATAATCCGCCCACGTCGATGTAAATATTTTGATACAAGTAAGTGCTCTTGGTTGCTGTTTTCATTTGAATATGGTGTTTGCAATTTTATGTATTCCCAAAAATTCTAGTGCTTTTTTCACTGCTCTGTTCGAATTTGTTTTCTCTATAATCTCTCTCAACAGAGCGATTTTGTTCTAGGTTATTAGTTTAGCAGTGCTGGGAGCTGTTGTCAGTTGAATATACTACACTGTTCTATCACTATACTACTTGACTTTTTACGTATTTTTCCCCGTTACCCTATTTTAAATCTTTGTTTCATTAGTCGTCTTTTTTATTTCTCCTAGTCTTTTCCTCAGTTTTCATCTTTCCCTCTTAGACATTCTAGGTGTATTCATAAGATTGCTTTCGCTAATCAGTGGCTCTCAGGTCTAAAGAAGTGATTGACTCTGCAGGTGGGAATACATTATACCTGGATGGATCTCCCTAATTTTTCTACAGTTATGATCTAGTCTGAAATGGCCAGTAGTCAAGACAGCGTTTAATGTATGTACCTTAAATATTTGGGGCCTTCACCTATTCCTCTGTGTTTCATTCTAAGCATGAATTGTTACTCTTAGAAGACAAGCTCTTTGATGAGAACAAGTCAACCACCAGTGTTAGTAGTTTAAATTTATAGTCTAACTTTTTTATACATTAAAAGGTAGAAAAACACTGAAGAAAAATTACCTGTGATAAAATACAGTTATCTGTTACACATTTAGTTTAGAAGTGAATGTAGTGCTGCTAATAATAGTTCTTTTGTGGGTTTTGATCAAAGATTTGGTTCAAGTGAAAAGTGTATTAGTGCCAGGAGAGATTAGTTACTGAAATAATCGTGTTTAATTTTAAGTTTAGGGGAAAAACGGTTCCATTTTTCTCTATAAGTGAAGACCAAACCCATTGCCAAAGATAGCTTTTGCTTTTTAATTGAAGTAGGATGCTAAGTGACTACTTTCGAAACAATATTTATTTCATAGTGTTAATTTGGTATTTCACTTGTAATGGTTTGCATGGAAGCTATACATATAATACTTAGCTTTCCCATAGGAAGAATTAATTTCTATATGTAATATCTTTTCGAACTTTGTGTGGGATCGTAGTATTTAAAGGTTGAGAAGATGTTGACAATCTAATAGTTTTCAGATTTCCCACCCCTTTCGCTATGAGTCAGAGTCAAACGGAGTTTGCTTTGGTGTTGGTTTTATGTAAATACATCCTTATTCCAAAATGTAAGCAAACAGCACCTTGCCTGCTGTAAGTAAAACGGGATGGGGAGAATGGAAGTCTTCCCTTTGCATGCTGCCCCCAAAGTGGCACTACAAATTCCATAGTGTTCCAAGGAGCACTGTTTGAAAACCACTGTTTTCTCCAAATCCTCATTTTATAAGTGAAGAAATTGAGATCCTAGTATTTGTTCTGTCATGAGGCTGTTGGTAGCAGAAATAGGATTAGAAACAGATTATCTTGACTCTAAATCAGTTTCTTTCCCTAAAGTTTTTGTAGAAAATCACTTCATGAAAATGGATTAGAATTGTCCTAGAAAGGTTTATAGTTTCCCCCCCCCCTCATTATAGTATATATTGATGATTTGATTAGAACTATCTTGGCCAAACTGGCCTAACTCTGCAAATACCTTTGGGTATATCTAAATATTTGATGGTAGATATAAAAATAAAATATATATTTATAGGTGGACAGGATAAGCAATCATTTTATAGTATTGTCTTATTTATTCTAGATAGTGAAATAGAAGAAGAATCTGAAGAAGATGAAGATTATATTCCATCAGAAGACTGGAAAAAGGTAGTTTGAACCATATTTCCCTCAAACATAAATTAATATAAAAAAGCCAAGTATGGTTATTCTTTTCTAACTATATGTATTGATAAAGTTGGTAAGCCTTTTTATAAGATTTAAGTCCTTGGTAAATGTTCAGACTTCCCCTTAATTACAGCCAGGTGAGATAAATATTTATCTTTTTATAAAATAAGATGGTTATATGGAAAGAATCAGACTTTGAGAAAATCAGTACTCCAGCCAAGATTAGAAATCCAGATTTCTGAACTTGTCCAAAACTAGTGCTAAATGAGACATGCCGTGTAAGAAATATGGCATGTAATTTTTATATTTTGGAAAGTGACTGTGGTGGCTTCAGTAGTTGTTAAGTAAATTTTGCTTTATAATTTATATTACCAATTTTTCTATCCCATATTACCTTCTAAAGGGGAAAACTCTTAGAATGAATTTAATGTTGCTGTATGTAACTGAATATATTGTTTGAAGAGACAGATTTGGCCTTCTCTGTAACTATACGTAATTAAATACATTAATTTCCAAAATCTATGGATAATATATTGACATAAATTTTTTAATTATAAAATTATATAAATCATTTAGTTAAAACATACAGTTAAATTGAAAAAATAATTTTAAGTTTCTGCAAAGGAATTCACCTTTTAGGAAAAATCTATTGAAGTGTCTTATAGAATTCTCAACAGTAAAATAAAATATTAAAAACAAAAATTAGAGACTAGACTTTATAGCACTGCTGCAGAGAAACCATGTGTCCATGATCTTCCTTGCTAGCAGAAAATATCCAAATATCCTGCCTTCTAAATCTCAGAGAAGAGAGAAGTGCATCTAATAATTGCTTAAACTTTATTTGCATCAAGATCCTTAGCTGCAAGGGAGTCTGGGAAATGTACTTTTTAGCTTTCCAGGCTCTCTGGTATAGAAAGTCAACCAGAATAAAGTGGGAATGGATGGTGAATGCCAATCAACCATATCCAGCAAATGTAAACTCTTTTGTTTTCACTGGATTGTGAAAAGAATAGGAAACAAAATTAGTAAAATAACTTTTTGTCAGCTAAGACAGAAAGAAATGTATTGTGGAATTGATTAAAGCAAATCATTTATTTAAAAGGAATATTATTCTTGTTAATAGGTCATTTGATTTTCCTCTAAAAATTTTTTTCATTGAGGTTTTGGTTCTTTTTCTTGGACCTGATTTTAAATTTAATGTATAAATAATCATTGTTTTCACAGTAGCCCAAACCATCAGATTGAGTGGACTTCCTGCATTTCCTAGGGTCTTTTACTTAACTCATGATTATTGGATTATTTAATTAATACTTTTGAGCCTTGCTTGTGGTATTTTTTCAGTCGGCTTAAAGTTGTCTGTTTTAGGATGTCTGGGGTAAACTTAAAAAAGAGCTGGCTTTTTTGCTGATTAAAATGAGGGATCATTTCATATTCAGAGTTTCTATTAGGAAGAATGAAGTATTCAAAGAAATTCAGCCTGGGCTATCCAAAGGTTCAGGGCTTTACCAGAATTGACCTGTTTATGGGTTTCCAGAGAGATGTTTCCAACATACATATGCCTTGTGTTCCCTAACAAAAGTGTAGAGGCGAGATAACTTAAAAATTAATGGCTGAAGTCTAAAGAGTTGGGAAGGCATAGTTTCCAATATTCAGTAAGTGACCAAATTTTTATGGTTTACATAGCTGTTAAGAGACACACAATTCCTTTTCCCCAGGAGCTCATATTTTTGCTGAGAGAGTAAAGGGACATCCCTTTAAAAAAGTTATATAACATGAGTAAATGCATTATTAAATGTTAAATTGAATGAAACAAGCAAAAAGAGCTGTAGGAGTTAGAAGAGAAAGATATCAGTGTTAGTTAGAATGGTAAAGGAAGATCAGCACGATGTGTAGTAGTATTAATTTGAGTGAGTGATGAATGAACAATGCAACTGATGGCTGCAAACGAAGATCCACAGAAATTACTAATTGTGTGACCTGTTTGAGCAAGTGTTGGTCAGTGCAGTTTTTTTCTGATTCCTTTTTCTTCAGTTCAGTATGTTTTTTTTAAAAATTTTTATACCATGTAGAAATAAAGATAATAAAAAAAACTAGATAACTTGGGAGGCCTCTTAAACTGCTGTTTTCCACCACAGATTCAAATTTATATATCTGTTCTCCAGCTAATATTGTTTTTGTATCTGGAGGGTCCAGTACAGTATTAAGTGTTCAGCAATTTTTTTTTTTTTTTTAAGCGAAGGAACAAAAACCCACAGGAGGGGAGACCGTGGGAGAGATGAAGCCACCTTTGCTGAGGATTAGTAGTTCTTTCCTCAGGAAAAATTTTGTAATAAAGCAGACTAGAGAAAATCCATGTTGTGATTTTTTTTTTTTTTTTTTTTTGGAGTAAATGTAAGATTCAGACATTCATTTTCTAAGGCTTATAAAATTGAATTTTTATAGAAACTAGGGTAGGGGAAACAGCTTTGAAGTCAAACCTAAGTTCAAGTTATATTTCCAAAACTTACTAATTGTGTGGTCCTGAGGAAATTAAATTTTTTTTTAGCTTCATCTCTGCACGTACAGTATGGGAATAACATACTGTATCAACTTCCTTATAGGAGTTGATAGGGATTTAATAAAAATTACATATAAGATACCTGGTACGTTAAAAAAAAAAAAATCGATTGCATAGTGCTCATTAAATGCTGTTTCCTTTCCTATCCTACAGAATGAACTAGCAGGTGAAAAAAAATAAGAAAAAAAGAGGTATCTTATCTTTATGCTAGTCTAGAAGTTCTCAACCCTGGCATCATGTTAAAGTACTGATTACCAGTGCCTTCATCTGGAGACTGATCTATTTGGTCTAGAGTGGACCCATGCATTGATACTTTTAGATGCACTCCAGCCAGAGCTGGTAACTTCACAATCCTCTGGTAGGAATAGGTGAATAAAGTTGAAAAAATTATAATAAAAGCATGTAAGAAAGTGACAATAGAGTACTCTTTTTATAGTGAAAAAATTACGGTCAGAGACATAAGGAAAATTCTTATATAAAATTGGAGAAAATTTGTTGTGTGTAGTACTCTTTAGAAAACTAACCATGAGAAATACTTGTTACACAGGTGCAGCAATAGTATTACATAAAGCTCTTTTTTTAATTTATGTTAGATAAAATGAGATTCTAACATCAGTAGGGAGTAACAAATTATTAACAGGAGAGAGGAACTTTTAAATCTTAAGTTCCCTAGACATACACTAGACATGATTTCGAACTTTTCCTGCCCAAGTCTTCATTTTAAAAATGCTGGTAAATTTATTCTTAACACTTAGCCACCAGAAAAAAGAGGATACATATAATCTTGGTCCCCCTCTGTTGTGAAATTTCATCACTGGTGATTGCCAGTGCCCCTCTGAATAGACAGTTTCCGCTTACCTGATTTTCTATTTAAAAAAAAAAAAAAGACGTTTTTCGGGGGAGAGGTTACTTTCATTTTGTATTGTTTTGTTGAAAGTGGGGCACTAACCTGCTTTCCATTTGGTTTGAAGTTTCGTCTATCTGGCCCCTACTGAAAAAAAAAAAAAAAAAAAAAACACTTTTCAGTACACCCTTACCTTAAAGCTCTTGTTCTCAGACTTAATTTTTAAGTCTTGGGAATCACCTGGAGGGCTTATTAATACATAAATTGCTTGGTCTCATTCCCAGAATTTCCGATTGAGGAGGTCTGGGTTTTTGCATTTCTAACAATTTCCCATTTGACACTGGTGCTTCTGGTTCAGGGACCATATTTTAAGAATCACTGTCTTAAAAATGTAGACATTCTGAAAATATCTGAGTTTACCTGGTTTTTAGTGTATTTTACAATTATCTTACTAATTGGATTACAAGAATTTATTTTTCTCCATATTTTGAAATAAAGTTTGTATCCATTTGTCTGTATTGCATTTCTCACCCCATTATTGATACTAACATTTTCATCCAATCATATCCAAGCACTTATCTATTATTAACTCATTCATCCTCACAATACTCCTCTGAGGTATTTAACTGGTTGTATCTGTATTTTAAGACATAGAAACCAGGAACAGTTTATCCAAGAACATGGTAAAGCTAGGAAATGGGTATAAAATCTGTATTATTAGATCTTACTAATATTTTATGTTATTTTTAAAATAGGAGATTATGGTGGGCTCCATGTTTCAAGCAGAGATTCCAGTTGGCATTTGTAGATACAAAGAAAATGAAAAAGGTGGGTTTTAAGTTACATAGCTGAACCTTGTGCTTTCGAAGTGATGAAATGTTATTTTATATGTGAAGTGGGATCAGAATATGAGAGCCTACTAAATTACTCCATTGGTTTATCAAAGAGAGCCCTGTATTATTTCTGTAAGAAGAAGTATGTTCACTACTTTTCAAATTTTGTCCTTAGAAGACTACCAAAAAAAAAAAGTTAATGCTTGTTTATTTTTAAGTGACTTAAAGTGTCTCAACCTTTTTTTCCCTCGTATTCTAAATACTCTGAACATACTCTTTTTTGTCCTTTCTAATTTATTTTTTAAAGATGGTTATTTTATATCAGTGAAAGCTTTGTGAGGTTTTTTTTTTTTTAAAAAAAAAAAAATCAACTAATATAGAAAGTTTATTGCTTCTGGAACTTTTAATATTGAGTACTTTGATATTTGTGTTTTTAGAATAATTCGGGGAAACTTGTATACTTAAATTTTACAAGGCTTTTTTTCTTCATTTTATGTAAAAGTCCAAAGGTAAGTCATAAATACTTCCAATAACCGAAAATAGTTGAAAATTTTTTTTAAAAAAGAGCCTGCTTTAGATTATTTACTTTGGGTGAATTTCAGAAAGAAGAGAGTGTGCGTGTGTGTAATGGGATTCATGTGCACTGTGACCTCACCCAAAGCTAGAAATCTTCCTTCATTTTTTTTATTTCAGTTTTCTTCTCCACATTTCAGCTTTACATATGCAGGGCCCTTTGGAGTTGTAGAAGTCTTTTGTTGTTTATTTTCTTTTTAGCATGCCCTCTGAAAACCTACTTTATATTTTAAGTAGGTGCCTGCTTTCTGGCCCTAGCAGCAGGTCAGAGGCAGTCAAGGGAACACTATAGGCCAGTTCTTTTAAATGACAGCAAAAACGTTTTAACACACCTGTAGCAGCTTGTGCTTGTTTTAAAGTTAATTCCTGCAACATACAGGAACATTAAAAACTCAATATGGAGTGACTGTGTTATATATTAACGTTCTGTACATACATTGTAATTGTGTGCAAAATAAAATTATTCATTGAATTTTGTATTTTATAATTGAATTTTAAAAGCTCTAGTCTGATGTAATGGTTAGTATGTGTTCATATTCATCACAGAGTCGTTCACTCTGCAAAGAAATGAACTGAAAGACATTTCTTTATATTAAATTTCTTTTAAATTATAGCTATGAAAGATAATAGTGCCTGTCTTTGGAAATTTTATATATAGGACTTGGGTAGGAAAACTTCTCAGTTTTATGGCAGATCAGTATTATATCTAATTATGTTTTAATATGTTTGTATTGTCAGATATTACGGTGAATATTTAAATGATCACAGTCTCTGACTTTTTAAGGTTTTTAATTCTGTTTTAGCATTTCCAAATTTAACATGATTTTCGAAAGCAATTATACATCTTCTCTCCCCACCCCATCAGGAAAAGGTGTGATTTATGAAGCTTACTCGTTTTGAAATATTTGAGTATTGTGTTAATGCAGACTAGACTTAGCAGGGTGATACTGCCTTGGAGGGGTTGCTGTGGTATAAGACCTTTCCTCGGTTTTGTACTAGGAATTCATACTTTTGTCAGGATACTCAAAAATTGTCTCTGTTTAGGTGCATTATGTATACAAACCAAATTCATGTGAAGTTACTGTGTAAACTCTCAAAGAGATAATGCTAATTAGTTTTATTTCTGTGGAAAACATTTCATAGGATGTTTTTCATCAGTAAGTTTAGTGAGCTCAGCCTCAACAGGAAGGACATGTAGTTCGAGTGAATTTCATAAAATTTCACAAAACTAAGGTGTTGTGATATCTTCATGTAGGGATTATTTGACAGATGGATCAGAATTCTTCTTTTCATTAGTATAAGGAGAGATCCTCTTACCTAAGTGTCCTTAGAGAGATTGACAAATTCTCTCTGCCATCTTACTTCTTTTTTACTAGGCTGTATGCAGATTATATAGCCATATATTATTACTCTTAATTCAAACAGTTAAACAAGGTTTGTTAGTTATAGTCACATTTCAGGCATGTTCCTTTGAACCTGTATCCATTTTGGTTTCTCCTTAGTTACACATTTATTAACATTTTCTTAAAATTATGTAAATTGTCATTTATGTTTAACAGTGTATTTTAGCTGTTTGTTTATTCATCTTAGTGTCCTTAATACCTGGTGTGATTCTTGCCACATAGGACTTAGTAAACACTTGGTGGCTAGGTTAATGGGTAGGCACAGAATTGTGTTAATAGAACTGATTTAGAGTCAGTAAACCTGGTTCAGTACATAGGCGTTTGGCCTTGGACACATTAAACTTGGTAAAATGGGATTTATTCACAGAGCTGTTGTAAGGATTGCATGTACTATAAAATATGTAAACCGCTTACTCAGCTAGAAGTAATCACTGTGACCAGAGGAGATGAGTGAGTATTTTGGCTAGTCCTGGGTCAGCAACACCCAGGCCATGTGAGAAATGGCTTAATTCTCAAAGAGATGTTGGGCAGATGAAAAACATTCTACTTTATAGGGTAATTTTTCAAAGTTATGTGTGTGTTTTTGAGCTTTATTGTTTATTCCATGTGCTAAATTGAGTAAACAGTGTAGCTTTGTGATTAGATAAGGAATGCTGATAAACAAAGTAAAGAGGGTAGCCCCACCTTCACAAAGAATTATCTGACCAAAAATGCTGGTAGTGCTGAGGTTGAGTACCCTGGACTAGGTTAATTAAAAAGTAGGTGAGCTACTTAGGAAAAAAAGAACAAGGCCAAAGGAAAGGAGCAATTAAAAGTATTTCCATCCAGTCAAGTTTTCATACTTGCATGATGCATGTTTTAGAATAAGTAAATGATGGCTAGAAATTATGAGGCAGTGAATAGAAAAGGCCCATATAAATTATTTTCTAATCAACATTTTGACATTCTTAAGTTTCTTACTGAAAAATGAACAAATGTGGTACCCTTAGTTGATAATAATAGTACTGTTAGACAATTCGTGAAACCTATATCCAGGAAAAACTCAGCTAGACAACTTATAGTTCTCGTTATTAATCATAGTATGTGGCGATTTCTTTTATGAACGCATTATCACACCATAATGCTAATTACAGATTAGCATTTTCATCCTTATGTTAATATTAGAACAAATTTTGACAGGATTAAAAATGGAATAACTATTTGAGAAAAACTGGTGGACATTTGCTTATTAGGAATTAATTTCCCATATTAGAGAGGTTTGTTCGTGGTTTTGTCGTGGTGATGGCCTCTCAGCTTTCTACATCAACTTTTTTCTTTCTAAAGTCATTTGTCCCTCATGCACACACCCACACAGCGGACTTTGTTGCAGATTATTTAGACAACTCATTTTGCTTATTGACAAGTTTAATTTGATTACTTTTGATTTTTCTTACTGTATTCTGAATAATAAAATGACAGCTATTAATAAACTATTAATAAAATGGCTGATATCAAATAGTGTTAATGCCTTGCCACTCACAGTGAGGTCTACAGACCAGCACCATCATGTTCACCTGCGAGTTTGTGAGAAATGCAGAATCTACGGCCCCATCTCAGACCTGCTGAGTCAGAATCTACAATTTAACAAGACCCTCAGGTGTTTTGTGTTCATGTTAAGAGTGTGAGAAGCACTGCTCCAGATGACCTTTGTTAGTATACTAGGTGAACACCTGTGTTCTGAACACTTCTGTTAATCACATATAATTGCATGTACATTGTCTTCCAGTGAATAGATGATGGATAATCTTATGATGGATCTTTAAAAGTTCTACTATTTATGGTAGGAGCCCTGGTGGCGCAGTAGTTAAAGCACTTGGCTGCTAACCAAAAGGTTGGCAGTTTGAGCCCACCAGCCATTCCTCAGGAGAAAGATGTTAGCAGTCTGCTTCCATAAAGGAAACCCTGTGGAGCAGCTTTGCTCTTTCTGTAGGGTTGCTATGAGTCGGAATCAACTCCATGGCAGTGGGTTTGGATTTTTTTTTTAATACTTGGGGCTGGTAATTTATTTAGAATGAAATTATTTTAGAAGATCCATTGTTTCATTGATTGGGATCTTTCAAAATCTAGTGAGTTTATGTCACTTAATACAAGAGTTGTTTTTCCTATTGCTATTACAGGTTTTTTCCCTTCACGTTGTATTTATAGAAGCTATTTCTCCTTTTTCCTTTTTGGCGTTTATCATAATAGTGAGTTCTTTTAAATTTCTGATCCTCTTGGCATCTTAGTCATTCCACAACAGATTTTATTAAAAACAACTATGCTGCACATTTTATTTAGATCATAGTCAAAAGTTACATATTTTAGATAGAGTATAATCTTAAGTGCACAATAATTTGGTCTGTTTTTGGAACCAATACAGGCAGTGTGGCTTATTTTCTGTGGAAATGCTAATTGTTTTCACTGCATGGTCATTATTGAGTATATTGTAATTGTGTAAAATAAAGTGTCACATTGTTCTTAAGTTAATGAAATAATAAGGGCTAGGCTACCTGGCTAGCTAATCACAATTCCAGGTGTCTGCCTTGTCATTTGGTGCCATTTGGTGATGTTTGTCTGCTCGGCTTAAATAAAGACATTTCTGTATCCTGTGGGTGCCAGGAACTTCTGAAACAATGGCAGTGATTCCAGAAATATTTCCTGGGTAGTTTGTGCTTGTTTTATAGACCCAATATGGGGTATTAACTGAGACAATACTGGGGCCTTGGGGACCCACCCTCAACCTTTCCTTATATGGGCTTGTCCACATCGCACATCCCGCATCCAATCCGAAGAATATAAGAACTGTAGTCTGCTGTCTTCAGTGAGCAGAGAACAAAACTCATTGGCAATATATTCAAGTTCACTTTATATGGGGTTTTTAGGAGTTTCACTAGGATTGGACCAGCAGGTTGGAAAAGGAATGAAGTTTTTACTAAGGAACAAATCTAAGAGATTTTCCTCCTTTGAGCTGCACTTTAAAGAAGAGTATCTAGTTTGGGAAACAGAAAAAGATGGATTGTTCCTTGGAACATGGAAGAAGTTTTTTTTCTTTGTGCTTTAGGTGATAGTTTACAGAGCAGATTAGTTTCTCATTCAACAGTACATACACAAATTGTTTTGTGACATTGGTTGCAGTCTCTGTGGTGTGTCAACACTTTCCTCTTCCCCACTCTGGGTTCCCCGTTTTCATTCGTCCAGTTTTCCTGTCCCTTCCTGCCTTCTCGTCTTTGCTTTTGGTCAGGTGTTGCCCATTTGGCCTCATGTGCATGATTGAATTAAGAAGCTTATTCTTCACGAGTGTTGTTTCTAGCCCTGTCTAATCTTTGGCTGAAGAATGAACTTCGGGAGTGGCTTCAGTTTTGAGTTAAACGGGTGTTTGGGGGTCATAGTCTTGGGGGTTCCTCCAGTCTCTGTCAGACCAGTAAATCTGGTCTGGTTTTTTTTGTCAGTTTGAATTTTGTTCTGCATTTTTGTCCCACTCTGTCAAGGACCCTCTATTGTGATCCCTGTCAGAGTGCCTGGTGGTAGTAGCCGGGCACCATCCAGTTGTTCTGGCTCAGGCTGGTGGAAGCTCTGGTACCTGTGGTCCATTAGTCCTTTGGACTAATATTTCCCTTTGTGCCTTTGGTTTTCTTCCTTCTCCTTTGCTCCAGACGGGATGAGACCAGTAGATGTATCATAGATGGCCACTCACAAGCTTTTAAGACCCCAGAGGCTACTCACCAAAGTTAGATGTAGAACATTTCCTTTATAACTGTGTTACGCCACTTGACCCAGATGACCCCCATGACCATAGTCCCCAGCCCTCAGCCCTAGTAACTCAGCCCCTCAAGGTGTTTGAATGTGTCTGAGAAGCTTCTGTGACTTTGCCTTGATCAAGTTGTGCTGACTTCTATATCGTGTACTGTTTTTCCTTTCACCAAAGTTAACACTTACCTATGACCTAGTGATTTCCCCTCTTCAACTTTCCACTCCCTTCTACCATCAGAGATTGTTTCTTACTGTATGTAAACCTTTTTTTTAATAATAGTGGTCTCATACAGTATATGCCCTTTTGTAATTGACTTATTTCACTCAGCATAATGCCCTCCAGATTCATCCATATTGTGAGGTGTTTTGCAGATTTGTTATTGTTCTTTATCATTGCTTAGCATTCCATCATGGCATATGTACCATAATTTGTTTCCATTCATCTGTCGATGGGCACTTACATTGTTTCCATCTTTTTGCTATTATGGATAATGCTGCAATGAGGAAGAAGTTTTTGAAGTGTCTAGGGGGAGGGGGAAGACAAGGTAAGGTATGTGAAAACACTTAACCTAGGGCCTGGTACATAGGAGAACCTTAATTAGCTGTTGATTCCTTTTCATAATATAAGAAACCTTGACACTATGAGTTGTCCTTTGTCTTTTAAATTCAGTGTCTTTATCGAACTGGCTCCTTCCCATTGCCACAAAGGCATATGTCTTCTATTTTTAAAAACAAAAACAAAACGTTTTTTCATCTCTGCTTCCTCTCTAGCTGCTGCACGCTCTCTCTCCTCCACAACCAAATTTTTCAGAAGTTTTCTGCTTTATTTTTTCACCTTCCATTTACTCTTCATTCTTCTGCAGTATGATTTTTTGCTTCCATCTCTCCACAGAAACAGTTCTTGGCATGTTCACCTCCTTATTACCAAATCCAGTATCCTTTTTCAATTTTCATCCTAGTCACAGAACAGCATTCATTCAGTTGATTGCTCCTTGAAACACTCTCTTCCCTTTGCTGCTATGGTGTCACATTCTTGGTACCTCTTCCGTCCTGTGGCTGTTCCTTCTTAATTGTGTTTGTTTTCATTTTCCTGTCATTTAGAATTCCACAAGGCACTATTTTAGGTCCTCCAACTTCCTTTCCACTTTTTAAATTTTGGTGTGATTTAGGCTTTAATCTTACTACAGTGGAGATTATGGTGAAACTTCAGTGCTTTTCAGAAAAATGACTGTTTTTAGGGAAAAAAAGCTCATTCATTATAGTATATTTTCAAGCATTGTAGAAAAATAAAAGAAGGTAAAAAAATTACCCCAAATCCAACTACCTAGAAATAAACGTTATTAACATTTGGTGAGTGTTCTTCTAGACATAGTTTTAATAAAAAAAAATTTTTTTGTAGCTAACATACATTTATATGTGCCAGAAGTATTTTAAAGTGCTTTAAATCCTTACAACTCTTTTGTGGTACGGTTGTTATCCTTATTTTACAGATGAGGCAAAGAGAAGGGAAGTAACTTGACCAAGTCATACAGGTAGTAAGTAGTGGAGGTGGTATTCGAACCAAGAGAGCTTGGAATTCAGTAAACTCAAGTCACCTTGGATCCAAAGGGACATAAAGTAGTATGTCCATCTCTGTTTAATTGCTTAATTCACTTAAGCTATAAATACTGCTCAAGAAGGAAGTCAGGCAAGTAATAAGACCACATTTTACCTCTTAGTTTTCAACATTTGGTTCTAGGTATGAGTTATTTGTTAAATGCTATGTTTTAACACAAACTGTATAAATATTTTTTAATATGTTGTTGTTATCTATTTAGTATATGAAAATGATGATCAGCTCCTGTGGGACCCTGAGTATTTACCAGAAGATAAAGTGATTGCATTTCTTAAGGATGCATCTAGAAGAACAGGTGATGAGAAAGGTGTAGAAGCAATTCCTGAAGGATCTCATATAAAAGACAATGAACAGGTAAATGAATAAAAAGTAACTTAAGAAGTTTTTCCAAAGTAAATTAACCATACACATGTATAAATTAAATGGTGTCACTTTCAGTGTTACTATTTTATCCATTGAAATTCCTGTGATGTCATCAACAAGGAATCAGTTTATGATCAGTATAAACTAATGCAGTGTTACTACACTCGCTTCATTGGTATGATCTCAGCTCAAAACAAAAAAGGTGATGTGACGTTTTTGCCTGTATATACTTTTTAATAGTGTTTATTTATTTTTCCCCATACAAAAATTTATACATTGTTATGTGACCCTAATTGCTTTCCCCATCCTGTAACAGCACACTCCTCCTTTCCACTCCTGATTCCCCATGTCCATTCAACCAGCTCCTAACCCTTTCTGCCTTCCCATCTCACGTCTGGACAGAAGCTGCCCGTTCAGTCGCTTGTATCTACCTGAGCTAAGAGGCACAGTCCTTACGAGTATCACTTTATGTCCCACAGTCCAGTCCAATCCCTGTCTGAAGACTTGGCCTTGGAAATTGTTTTAGTTTTGGGCTGATAAGAGAATCCAGGGGCCATGCTTTCCGGGGTTCCTCCAGTCTCAGTCAGACCATAAAGTCTGGTCTTCTTGCTAGAATTTGAGTTCTGCACCCCACCTTGCTCCTGCTCTGTCCGGGACTCTCTGTTGTGTTCCCTGTCAGGGCGGTCATTGGTGGTAGCCAGGCTAATAGTGTTTTTTAAATTCCTTTGGATATCCCTGAGAATCTGTGGCCCTCATCAAGTTGAGAATACTCACCTAGGATAATGTTACTATGCATCAGATTGACCAGTGCCTACCACAGATCTGCTATCTGTATTATATTGGTTTAGCTTTTTTATCAGTGTTTTCTGATTTGTTTAAGATTATCGTAGAGTAGAAACCAATGAATAGCCGAAATGAAGGGATTATGATTCTTATGATATGATATATTTTTATTTGTAAATACCTGAGACACTGTAACCATTAAGGCATTTCCTTATTCTAATTTCTGTATATTTAGAGATAGTTAATTAATCAGAATTGAATTTATGTTTGTTTTTCCTTGGTGTTCTGCATGCTCCATTCACTAGAACTATTTATCCTCTGAAAAGATGATGAAAACGAACACTGGATTCTGGAAAAGCCTTTACTCGAGAAATTGTGGTATTGAGTTGTTCATAGTCCAGGTCACATATTGAAGCCTTTTATTTTTTTCAGGCTTTATATGAATTAGTTAAATGCAATTTTGATACAGAAGAAGCATTGAGAAGATTACGGTTTAATGTAAAAGCAGCTAGAGGTGAGCATAGATATGAAATCAGTGCTGTTATTTGTTTTCATGGTATAGCAGAAGTTTGAAACTGAAGCTGTAGTCTATCTAGGTGTATCTTCAGCTTAATAATACTGATCTTTCTGAATTCAGTAAATATTTGTTGACTCTAAGTATTATACAAGAAATTAGGGGTAGTAGGATTAAGGCTGCCCCTTCTTGAGATTTTAATGAGAAAATAAGGGCATTTAAATAAAAATACATAATGCTTTACTTTTATTTTCTTTCTACTTAGGTTTTGTTTTGTTTTTGTGAAAATACACACCAAAACATACACAAGTTCAGTGATTTCTACATGTACAATTCAGTGACGTTGGTTACATTCTTCAGTTTGTGCCATCTTTATTGATACTCTTTTCCAAATTATTTTACTGCCATTAACATAAACTCACTGCCCTCTAAGCTTCTCATCTAATCTTTCAAGTTGCTGTTGTCAGTTTGATCACATATAGGTAATTCTTTAAAAGAATACAATACTCAAGGCAAACATACTTTACTAATTATTGTTTGGATTAACGATGACTTTGGGGATACTTTCAGTTTAAGGTTTAAAGATTTAACTCAGGGCAGTAGTTTCAGGGGGTCATCCAGCCTCAGTGGCTCCAGAAAGTCTGGATTCTATGTGAATTCAGAATTCTGTTTCACCTTTTTCCCCTTTTGGTCAGGATTCTGCTGTAGAATCTTTGATCAAAACATTTAGTAACGGTAGCCAGGCACCATCTCACGGCAAAAAGGAGGCAGTTCATTATTTTAATAAATATTTTATTTGATCTTTTCTTATGAGCTAAGTAGTATTACAGATGTTACTTCACTGGAAAATTGATATGCCTGAGGTTCAGAGAAATAAGTAACTTGTCTGAGATAAACATAATTCATAAATAATGAAGCTGTAACTAAAAATCTAGCTATTTTTTTACTTTAATCATGGCTTCCCAACCTGCTTCACTGTTCATATATAATCAAATAACTAATGAGTATTTATTCATTCAATAAATATTTGAATATCTCCTGAGTTGTGAGGATGTAACTGTTAAACAAAGACCCTTCCTTTCATGGATGGTACTTAGAGCCTAGGTAGGGAACTGAAAAATAGTTACGATGTTTTTTTCGCTTTTGGAAAAATATTGCTAAGCAGTTTTTCTCTCCCCATTTTGTCAGAGGAATTATCTGTTTGGACAGAGGAAGAGTGTAGAAATTTTGAACAAGGGTTGAAGGCCTATGGAAAGGATTTTCATTTGATCCAGGCTAATAAAGTAAGTAATGATATATATTCACATTTTTGCAAAAAAAGAAATTCAGTTTAACAACCCAAATCATCATATGTCTTAATTTTCTGTATTTTCAATTGTTACATGTTGTGTAATGAGTATTTTAACATTTCATTATTTAGAGAATTATTATAATCATGCTTATACTTCCTGGCATATATTTGCTAAGTGACTATTTTCACCATGTAATATTGTAAGCTTTAAACAACCGGACTCATTTACAAGTATGTTAATCAGCTTCCAGGGTGAGAGGTGTGCAGTGTAATTACAGCTATTGTCCAAAATCATGACAAAGTTTATTGTTTATTTATTTTATTGTGCTTTAGGTGAGGGTTTACAGAGCAGATTAGTTTCTCATTCAACAATTTATACATGACATTGGTTGCAATCCCCGTGATGTGTCATCAGTCTCCCCTTCCTCTTCCCTGAGTTTCCCTTTTTCATCCGTCCATTTTTCCTTTCCCTTCCTTCCTTCTTGTCACTGTTTTTGGGTAGGCGTGCCCATTTGGTCTCCGGTACGTGATTGAAGTTAAGAATCAAATTCCTCACGTGTGTTACTGTTTATTTTATAGACCTATCTAATCTTTGGCTGAAGGGTGACCTTTGGGAGTGACAGGGTTTTTTGGGCGGGGGGAAGATTAACTTTTTAATTTTTTTTTTATTGTTGTAGTTTAAATGAAGTTTACATTTCAAGTTAGTCTCCCATACAAAATTGTATACATACATTGTTATGTGACCCTAATTGCTCACCTCATTCTGTGACAGTACACTCCTCCTTTCTGTCCCTAATTCCCCATGTCCATTCAGCCAGCTCCTAACCCTCTCTGCCTTCCCATTTCATCTCTGGACAGAAGCTGCCCCTTTGGTCTCTTGTATCTACTTGAGCTAAGGGGCACACTCCTCACAAGTATTGTGACAAGGTTTTTTTAAGGAGAGTCTTTAAAATAACTTTGAAACCTTAGAGCACTTTAAGATTCAGTATTTACAATTGAAATATATATTAAATTTGTTTAAGTCCTGAGTGGTCTAAAACCAGATATTAAGATTTAATTTGGTTTTACTTTTAATTTAGCTTGCCTGAACAATTTATCTCAGTAGGTTGGCTTTATTAGTCATTATTAAAGCCCTGGTGGCACAGTGGTTAAACGCTAGATTGCTAACTGAAAGGTCAGCAGTTTGAGCCCACCAGCCACTCTGTGGGAGAAAGATGTGGCAGTCTGCTTCTGTAAAGATCACAGCCTTGGAAACCCTACGGGGCAGTTCTGCTCCGTCCTGTAGGGTCACTATGATTTGGAATCAACTCGAGAGCAACGCGTTTGGGTTTTAGAGTTGTCGTAATTTGACAGTTTTATTTAACATGAGCATTTATCATTCCAAATTGATAATATAAGTCATAAAGAACTTCATAATCAGGACTTCTGGGCAACACGACGCTATAGTCAGAAGCACCACGCCGTCCCTCCGCAGCAAAGATCCGAAAAACAAAGTCAAACAGAGTCACACCTCAATCCTGAAACCCTAAGCATCAAATGAAGAGATAAAGAACTCAGCCAAGCACCGAATGGAATAAGAAACTGACCGAGAACAGAGAGCAAGGATAGAGATATGCAGAGATCCCCCTATCAGCTACTGCACCACGGATCCACCATCTTGGACTCCTATCGGAGATCAGCGAACCGGGAGTACGAGAAAGCAGCTTCACGGAGCTTCCAGCAGGAGACAGAACAACCGGTAACCAGCAATATACGCTTTCCCACCCCCCACTCTTCTTCACCCCCACTTGGCCTCCTCTGCTTCCTGTGCCCACAGTCTCTTGGCCGGGAAGCACCAGCTTCACCATGGTGTTGCTTGGATTCCACCCACCCGTGCTGGCCGGCTCTGAGTGCCGTTTGTTGGCTGCTGGTGTTGCTTTTTTCCGCTTCTTTAGATTTCTTCCTTACCTCTCACCACCTTCCCCGCGTTTCTCTCAAATACTTGGCTTTGTGTGCCATCTTTGCTTCTTCCTGAAAGGCTGCGAAATACCACTTGACTGTGAAACTGCTTCCCAGCCTGTGCTGCCACGCTGGTGGGACCCCTGGGGCTTTTCTTTCTTAGTTTGCTCTGAATTGTTCTGTTCTGATTTGTTTGTTTTCTTTTTCTTTTCTCGGCTTGGGAGCCTCTTCTAGCTGGGTAGTACCGCACAGCTTGGAAGCTACTCCCTTAACCCTGTGCAGATGCACGGGGACATTTCTGGGGGCATTTCTTTTTTCGTGTTTTTTGGTTTTGTTTGTTTTCTTCTCTCTCGTTCTCTTTTTGTCTTTCTTCATTTCCAGCTTCTTGATTTATTCATTTTTTTCTTTTACCCTTTCTTTTTTTTCAGTTTTGTTTTTCTCCATTTCTCAGTCTCTCGTCTCTTGACTCCAATAGCAGGCTCCCTTAGCACTCTTTTTTGTTTGTGTGTATGTTTTTGGCTCCTGTTCCTCTCTCCTCTCTCCCATACCCATCTTAGCTCCACACATCACATCTTCCCCTGGCCTTCCTGCCTACCTGCACCGTGTGCTGAACTTCACACTCCCAAGCAGCACAGGCACGGCCTCCTGGAACCTGCCCTTCACTGATTCCCATTCTGTGCTGTCAGCCCTAGTACGAGCCACAAACAACCCATCCCAGCAACTCCCCTTCAGCTGGACCTACCCTGCTGTACCATATCTGAGTGACTGACCCTGCCCATTGAAGAAGGAGGTGAAAAGTATCATGCCCACAGACGAGCAAACGAGAAAGAACGCACAGCCCACCTGCTCAGACATAACCAAATAAAACAAAAAAGCAGGACAAAACAATTAAATCTACGATCAGTAAACGAGGAGAATAACTACTGAATTCACCAAAGACAGCAGACAATATCAAAACATATACAGAAACAGGACAGGATGGTTCCAGTAGGCATCCAAAATAAAATACCAGATGACTTTACATTAGAAGAAAAGGCACTAGAACTACCTGATAGGGAATTCTAATCTCCAGTATTCAGAATTACCCAAGAGTTGAAACAAAAAGCAGACAAAAATGAAGAAAAACTAGACAAATCCATGGAAAAGGCAGAGGAATTCATGGAAAATACAGACCAAAAAATGGAAGAATTCCAGAAAATACTTAAGGAACAAAATGCTAAAATAAATTTACAACTAGAAATTATACAAAAACAACAATTAGAAATCCAAAAGATAACAAGATTTCAGAAATGGACAGTGTCATGGAAGGGCCAAGAAGCAGGTTTGAAATGATGGAAGATAGGATCAGCCAAATTGAAGACAAACACTTGGCTATGACTCTGAGGAAATATCAGAAAAAAGAGCGAAGAAAAATGAAGAAACCCTGAGAATGATGTGGGATACAGTCAAAAGCAAAAATCTGCAAGTGATCAGAGTTCCAGAACGGGGAGAAAACAGAAAACACAGAGAGGATCATTGAAGAATTGCTGACAGAAAACTTCTCCAATGTCATGAAAGATGAAAAGCTGACCATCCAAGAAGACCTCAAAAGAAAATCACCAAGGCATGTCATAATCACACTCGCTAAAACCAGAGACAAAGAATCCTGAGAGCAGCTCGAGAAAAACAGAAAGTCACATACAAAGGAGAAACAATAAGACTAAGCTCAGATTACTCAGCAGAAACCATGCAGGCAAGAAGGCAATGAGATGACATATATAAAACCTTGAAAGAAAAAAATTGCCAGCCAAGAATAATATATCTTGCAAAACTCTCATTCAAATATGATGGTGAAATTAGGTCATTTCCAGATAAACAGAAGTTAAGGGACTATGTAAAAACCAAACCAAACTTAAAAGACTTATTAAAGGGAGTCCTTCCATCTGAGAACAAACATCAGAGCACAGGCTGAATATAGGACACAGGATAGTACTAGCCAGATACCAACCTAGGAAGTGAACTCTTAAGGACTACCCAAAACCAAAAGAATTACAGCAGGGAACCAGAGAGGTTAATCTGTAAATGACTACAGCATCAGAAGAATAAAAGAGGGAATAAACAGCGTAAGTATAGAACCTTCTGATGGAGAGGAAGGCAAGGCAATACCAAGTAATAATAGACTGGTTCAAACCTAGGAATATAGGGTAAATTTCAAGGTAACCACAAGTTAACAAACCTACTCATCAAAATAAAGAAGAAAAACATGAAGTCTTAGTAAAAACAAAACCTACAAAAACAAAAGAGAGGAAAAAAAATCCACAAACAAAGGGAATTCAACACAGGAGAGTAACTAAGAGGAACAAAGAAAACGTCCGTATGACCAAAAAAAACAGTACAAAATGACAGCAATAAACTCACACCTATCAATAATTACACTGAATGTAAATGGCATCAATGCAACCATAAAGAGATGGAGAGTGGCAGAATGGATAAGAAAACAGGGTCCATCCATATGCTGTCTACAAGAGACGTACCTTAGAAACAAAGATGTAGATTTATTGAAAATCAAAGGATGGAAAAAAATAAGCAAACAGCTACCGAAAAAAAGAGCAGGAGTGGAAATACTAATCTCAAATAAAATAGACTTCAAAACAAAATCCACCATAAAAGACAAAGGTGGACACTATATCATGAAGACATAACTATAATAAACATCTACGCACCCAATGACGGGGCTCCAAAATACATAAAACAAACTCTTAACAGCACTGAAAAGAGAAATGGGACAGTTCCACAATAATAGTAAGAGACTTCAACACACCACTCTTGGTAAAGGACGAACATCTAGAAAGAAACTCAGCAAAGATACAGAAGACCTAAAGGGCACAATCAGCCAACATTGACCTCATAGATGTGTATAGAACACTCCACCCAACAGCTGCAAAGTACACATTCTTTTCCAACGCACATGGAACGTTCTTCAGAATAAACCACATCTTAGGCCACAGAGCAATCCTCAACAAGGTCCAAAATGATTAGATAATACAAAGTATCTTCTCTGACCACAGTGCCATC